TTCAGGATTTTAACCTCGTTCTTCTTTAATTGAAACCTTTGGGTACAGATGCTTGTACCTCGATGAAACTAGTGCTGGCAAATGTGGGAAACAAAAACCTGAAGCCCATAAATAACTATCTCATTGACTGAGTGCTATTACAGATTCTAAAATGCCACTTGCCTGTGCACTGAGGAAGGGATAAACTGCTTGTAACTGAATATGTAAGAAAACAAGAACTAACCCAGCTGGAATGCCAGTGAAACAGCTAATTGAATAGGTTCATCATGTATGAATGAATCTTATCGAGGATGTATAATATATTTGTTTCCCATGCATTATGTGTAAACTGTGATCCACATTGCTTAGCAGATACATAGATGGGAGTTGTGGTTTTAAGCTTAAACGGTTTGGTTCGGCTAGTTGTTTTACCTTTAGAAAAATCCGGAACAATAATACGGCATGGTTATTGAGACAACATTTGGGACAGGCACGAGAGACGTGTTTGTACTGAGGTGGTAGACAAAGTCTACGTCACACACGGCTGTTACGTCTCCTGAGACGTCGACACCGACACTGCACTGGGAAAGCAGATCACTCCTTCAGACAAATCGCATCAATAAATGATCACGGTAGTCGGAGATTTTCTTAATTACATTGCAGGCGTGGACCCAAGCTAACGGTACTCGCTGATCGAGTCTCCAGCAGGTCGATTATATTAGGTCTACCGATGGCTCACTATGTACAAGTGTGTGCAGGTGGGCGGGTGTGTAATACCATACCAGTATATGCATCCAACCTTGTTATGCAGAGTAATATCCCAGGGTTTAATATACGGTATAGGAAGTTTTTCAAAGGAATAACAATTAGTTCAAATATAAACATCACTAAAGTTTATTTGTCATTTGTATGAAGACTTTTATATCTTCAAACTTATGTTTTATTTTTGATGTATTTATTCAAGATAGTTAAATAATACAAAATTAACTTAGTACTGTAATGAAATATTATCTGTTTCCTTAGATTATCAGTTGTTTATTTTGTTGGCAACACATGTGAAGCGTGTTAGATAAAATACACTTTGCAAATTATTTGACGATAGGAATAACACAAGCGTTATATATCCCAGATTAGGGACACAACGGTACTGTTATATTCCCCACGCCCAACTGTGAAGACCCAAAAACAATGTAAAGAAAGGTATGATAATGTCACACTACCAGATGTGCTCTGTTACACGGCATAAATGCGTTCAAATAATACCAGGCGTACGGTAAATACGCATTTAATATGCAAAGCCATGTGAAACTCGATATACAGTTTTATCCCAGAATGTTGGTAAATGTATTGGTATGACACATGGACACGAAAAGTTACAGAAATGTACGTTGTATGGACAGGTGTTTGTCTGCACTATACAGCTATGTCTTGATGGCCTGTGTGTGTGGAGGTGTCACTATACAGCAGTCTTGATGGCCTGTATGTCTTATAGATGATGGCCTGTGTATGTGGAGGTGTCACTATACAGCTATGTCTTGATGGCCTGTGTATGTGGAGGTGTCACTATACAGCTATGTCTTGATGGCCTGTGTATGTGGAGGTGTCACTATATAGCTATGTCTTGATGGCCTGTGTATGTAGAGGTGTCACTATATAGCTATGTCTTGATGTGCTATACAGCTATGTGTGTATGTATGTGGAGGTGTCACTATACAGCTATGTCACTGTGTATGTATACTATACAGCTATGTCTTGATGGCCTGTGTATGTGAGGTGTCACTATACAGCTATGTCTTGATGGCCTGTGTATGTGGAGGTGTCACTATACAGCTATGTCTTGATGGCCTGTGTATGTATACAGATATGTCTTGATGGCCTGTGTATGTAGAGGTGTCACTATACAGCTATGTCTTGATGGCCTGTGTATGTGGAGGTGTCACTATACAGCTATGTCTTGATGGCCTGTGTATGTGGAGGTGTCACTGTGTATGTCTTGATGGCCTGTGTATGTGGAGGTGTCACTATACAGCTATGTCTTGATGGCCTGTGTATGTAGAGGTGTCACTATACATATGTCTTGATGGCCTGTGTATGTGGAGGTGTCACTATGTCTTGATGGCCTGTGTATGTATGTGGAGGTGTCACTATACAGCTATGTCTTGATGGCCTGTGTATGTGGAGGTGTCACTATACAGATATGTCTTGATGGCCTGTGTATGTAGAGGTGTCACTATATAGCTATGTCTTGATGGCCTGTGTGTATATAGCTATGTCTTGATGGCCTGTGTATGTAGAGGTGTCACTATACAGCTATGTCTTGATGGCCTGTGTATGTGGAGGTGTCACTATATACAGCTATGTCTTGATGGCCTGTGTATGTGGAGGTGTCACTATACAGCTATGTCTTGATGGCCTGTGTATGTGGAGGTGTCACTATACAGCTATGTCTTGATGGCCTGTGTATGTGGAGAGGTGTCACTATACAGCTATGTCTTGATGGCCTGTGTATGTAGAGGTGTCACTATACAGCTATGTCTTGATGGCCTGTGTATGTGGAGGTGTCACTATACAGCTATGTCTTGATGGCCTGTGTATGTGAGGTGTCCTATGTGTATGTGTCTTGATGGCCTGTGTATGTGGAGGTGTCACTATACAGCTATGTCTTGATGGCCTGTGTATGTAGGAGTGTCACAGCTATGTCTTGATGGCCTGTGTATGTAGAGGTGTCACCATACAGCTATGTGATGGCCTGTGTATGTGGAGGTGTCATACAGCTATGTCTTGATGGCCTGTGTATGTGGAGGTGTCACTATACAGCTATGTCTTGATGGCCTGTGTATGTAGAGGTGTCACTATACAGCTATGTCTTGATGGCCTGTGTATGTGGAGGTGTCTGTGTATGTGGAGGTGTCCTATACAGCTATGTCTTGATGGCCTGTGTATGTGGAGGTGTCACTATATAGCTATGTCTTGATGGCCTGTGTATGTGGAGGTGTCACTATATAGCTATGTCTTGATGTCTGTGTATGGCCTGTGTTGATGGCCTGTGTATGTGGAGGTGTCACTATACAGCTATGTCTTGATGGCCTGTGTATGTGGAGGTGTCACTATACAGCTATGTCTTGATGGCCTGTGTATGTGGAGGTGTCACTATACAGCTATGTCTTGATGTCTGTGTATGTGGAGGTGTCACTATATAGCCATGTCTTGATGGCCTGTGTATGTATGGAGGTGTCACTATACAGCTATGTCTTGATGGCCTGTGTATGTGGAGGTGTCACTATACAGCTATGTCTTGATGGCCTGTGTATGTGGAGGTCACTATCACTATGTCTTGATGGCCTGCTATGTCTTGATGGATGGCCTGTGTATGTGGAGGTGTCACTATACAGCTATGTCTTGATGGCCTGTGTATGTGTAGAGGTGTCACTATACAGTGTCACTATACAGCTATGTCTTGATGGCCTGTGTATGTGTGGAGGTGTCACTATACAGCTATGTCTTGATGGCCTGTGTATGTGGAGGTGTCACTATACAGCTATGTCTTGATGGCCTGTGTATGTAGAGGTGTCACTATACAGCTATGTCTTGATGGCCTGTGTATGTGGAGGTGTATGTCTTGATGGCCTGTGTATGTGGAGGTGTCACTATACAGCTATGTCTTGATGGCCTGTGTATGTGGAGGTGTCACTATATAGCTATGTCTTGATGCCTGTGTATGTGTGTCACTATACAGCTATGGATGGCCTGTCATGTGGAGGTGTCACTATACAGCTATGTCTTGATGGCCTGTGTATGTAGGAGGTGTCACTATACAGCTATGTCTTGATGGCCTGTGTATGTGGAGGTGTCACTATACAGCTATGTCTTGATGGCCTGTGTATGTGGAGGTGTCACTATACAGCTATGTCTTGATGGCCTGTGTATGTAGAGGTGTCACTATACAGCTATGTCTTGATGGCCTGTGTATGTGGAGGTGTCACTATACAGCTATGTCTTGATGGCCTGTGTATGTGGAGGTGTCACTATACAGCTATGTCTTGATGGCCTGTGTATGTGGAGGTGTCACTATACAGCTATGTCTTGATGGCCTGTGTATGTGGAGGTGTCACTATACAGCTATGTCTTGATGGCCTGTGTATGTGGAGGTGTCACTATATATGTCAGCCTGTGTATGTCTTGATGGCCTGTGTATGTGGAGGTGTCACTATACAGCTATGTCTTGATGGCCTGTGTATGTGGAGGTGTCACTATACAGCTATGTCTTGATGGCCTGTGTATGTGGAGGTGTCACTATACAGCTATGTCTTGATGGCCTGTGTATGTGGAGGTGTCACTATACAGCTATGTCTTGATGGCCTGTGTATGTGGAGGTGTCACTATACAGCTATGTCTTGATGGCCTGTGTATGTGGAGGTGTCACTATACAGCTATGTCTTGATGGCCTGTGTCATGTGGAGGCCTGTCACTATATAGCTATGTCTTGATGGCCTGTGTATGGCCTGTGTGGAGGTGTCACTATACAGCTATGTCTTGATCACTGTGTATGTGGAGGTGTCACTATACAGCTATGTCTTGATGGCCTGTGTATGTGGAGGTGTCACTATACAGCTATGTCTTGATGGCCTGTGTATGTGGAGGTGTCACTATACAGCTATGTCTTGATGGCCTGTGTATGTGGAGGTGTCACTATATAGCTGGAGGTGTCTTGATGGCCTTGATGGCCTGTGTATGTGGAGGTGTCACTATACAGCTATGTCTTGATGGCCTGTGTATGTGGAGGTGTCACTATACAGCTATGTCTTGATGGCCTGTGTATGTGGAGGTGTCACTATATACAGCTATGTCTTGATGGCCTGTGTATGTGGAGGTGTCACTATATATAGCTATGTCTTGATGGCCTGTGTATGTGGAGGTGTCACTATATAGCTATGTCTTGATGGCCTGTGTATGTGGAGGTGTCACTATATAGCTATGTCTTGATGGCCTCATTGGAGGGTGTCCGGTAAAGACTTGTTACACTCTGGCCTTTACTTGTTCCGTATACTTTGGTGGGTTCGATTCCTCCATTTCCCCGAAAGTGGGGAATATGACCTCCTTTCTTATATATGCTTTTAAAGGCAGTTTACCGGAAAATGTTTACAAATTTTCATTTGAGAGACTAAATGTCAGTGTAGCTGTATGCTAACTGTATTTAGACTGTTTGTTAATGAGGTAAGATGAACTATAAGGTTCATGAGTTTAGATGAACTATAAGGTTCACGAGGTTAGATGAACTATAAGGTTCACGAGGTTAGATGAACTATAAGGTTCATGAGGTTATGAGGTTCATGAGGTTAGATGAACTATAAGGTTCACGAGGTCAGATGAACTATAAGGTTCATGAGGTTAGATGAACTATAAGGTTCACGAGGTTAGATGAACTATAAGGTTCATGAGGTTAGATGAACTATAAGGTTCACGAGGTTAGATGAACTATAAGGTTCACGAGGTTAGATGAACTATAAGGTTCACGAGGTTAGATGAACTATAAGGTTCACGAGGTTAGATGAACTATAAGGTTCATGAGGTTAGATGAACTATAAGGTTCATGAACTATAAGGTTCATGAGGTTAGATGAGATATAAGGTTCACGAGGTTAGATGAACTATAAGGTTCACGAGTGCCTGGCTGGACGTGGCCGACATCACCGTTCTTGTTTACAAGACACTCGGGGGAGCGGTTATCATCTGTGATCATCACAGATCAAGTATGTGACACTCTCCAGGAAATCCTATTCCGGACCAAGATATGACCTTTCCTGTCAAACCGATAACACGCCAAGCTTGTTTTTGTGCCCGTTAGTGTACACACCGTTTATGATAGCTTTTACATATAAAATAACAAAAACAGGAAGTTTTCAATATTATACTTATTCAAAATACATAAAAAGGGTTGGTGTCCAAATCTGTATGTTTCATAAGAAGAAATTAGTTTATATCGAACCATTCCCTTTTCAAATTTGCTGTACAGTTATAATCAATTTTGATATGCATGATGGTTTTAGCACATATGGATGGTGCCACTTAGAAGATGAAAACATACCGATGTTGGAATGGTTTCTGTTATTTTATAAAAGCCCGAAATATTTCCCACATTCAAGATGGCGATTCTCACAGAAAAAGAGAAAGTTGTTCACCGGAGCAATGAAGCACTCTGATGTTGAAGACTGGCGTTGCTATGGCAACAGGCATCCTCGGCTCTGTTGACGATCCGGCTCTCGGCTATATTTCAGACAGAGGGCTTCAGGCCACCTCATCCTTGAACTGGGTTACATCAGTCAGATGCTTCAACCTCTGTAGAGCTTCCATTCTACACCTCTGTTCTGCATGGAGGGACTGCTTCTGCCACTGTGTTACTCCATGGCTGCATCTTGCAAATGGTAGTTTCTTTTACACGGACCAAGAAAACAACCTGTTTCGTTCAAACAAGAACACTGTACGTTTATTGTCTAACCCATTTAATACTGGTTTTATATTCAGAAAATCGCTATGGGGTTGTTTTGAGTTGTGTTCTCCAGAATATGGCGAAATGTGCTTTGCTATTATGTTGGGAAACAATTAATCTGTCTCCCCATCCCGGACACTCGTAAATCCGAATGTATTTAACGTAAAATAAACGAGTGTTCTGGAGGTGAGTATCAAATGACACCATTCCGTGCTTTGAATTGTCCATGTACTGATAAAGAGGGCGTGACTCCCGTGAAAGAGAACCACAATGGGTGTATGACAACAGTCATTACATGTTTTGTTGAGGTTGTGTAATTGTCAGAAACCTCACCAATTGTATAGATTTTAAAGAAGATATTCATTGGGAGTAACGTCACCACATCATAATGGCTACAGCCAGTTTAATATCGAGTAACATAAATATCCCGCTTTTTATTTACGTTTGTTGAAATTATCAATTTTGAATAATATAATCCCTTAATCTCCCGTAATCTGTGTCAGAAAATCCGTTTTGAGTAACACAATACATTAAACGTCTGTGATTTGTATTCACATGTTCCATTACAGGTAACACGATGCATGATACTCCCGTGACTTTTGTTTTGTTTAAAGCATCTATTTTGTGTAACACAATGCATTAATCTCTTTGATTTGTGTTAAAGGTATCAATGTTGGACATCGCAATACACTAAAACCACGTAATTTCGGTTAAAAGTATCAAGTTTGAGTCACACAGCACATTTAAAGGTTGAAACTATCCTGTCGAGTATCGTAAACGTGCTTCAACACTATGTTGAAATACTTCATTGAGGATATGCCTGTGACGCTCCTATGACATAGTGTTAAAATGAATGATATGCATTAGTCAATCTACTCAAGAATACTTTTATGATATTAAGAGGTGAATTTGACGGACATATTCCCATGCAATACTGCAACTACAAAAGGGTTTGACATTTGCCTAATTGCTCCAAATGTGGATAATATATACAAGCGACAAAACATTTTTCATTAACATAATATGGATTCTCTTGTCAAAGCAAAGTCCATTGTACGTTACGTGTTGAAGGGGTGTTGATTAATGAATCCCTATCGCACAGTAATGATGCAAGGTGTTCGCGAAAGAGAAACAGTTTAATCAAGAAGTTGTTTCTTCGTATGGTCCGCTATTGCACTCTGCTATTTATGATTAGATAGTGGTCCTATGACCAAGCAGGTGACTGTATGTAGAACACATTACAACCACACTCACAACACACGTTTTCATTTTCTTTACAAATTATGTTACAGATTCTTGATATATCTACACACATGCAGTTTTTACACTGTTAAAGGTTTCTGTTTGAAAATGAACATATTTAAATAGTGTCAGGCACACGGTAACACTAGACACAGACAGACAGAAATATTTTATTAAAGTGTCACATGATATGTTACAGGTAAATCAATATTTCAAATGCCTAGATAACACATATCACCCAGCCATAACATTGGCTTACGAGACACTACTAAAAGAAATTAACTAAAAAAATGTACAATATACAATCTTGACGATTGTGTTCATGACATACATGAAATAGTACATAGGTAAAATATATTAGGAATGTTACTGCCTTCTAGGGAACATATCGTTAATAGTATCAGCTAAAAGTTTAAGAACATTGATTTCAGTAGTATTCATTACCATAATAAATTTCAAATGATCACTATCATCTGGACTAAATTAAGAAATACTGGATTACCGCCTGTGTGGTTGTATGACGTAACCTTAATTCGTTAATGCGGAACTTGATCAATTCATATTTCAAAGAGAATAATGCATCTAAAGTCTGTTCTGTTCTAGACACCAAATTCACTCATCCATTAGAGCACAGACTATGCATTAGTCTGTTTCGCTACATAATTGTAACTATGTTATCATTATTTATCGTTAAAGTTTTTCAGCTGCATTATAAATATAATAATTTGTTTTGAAGAGGAAGAAGCAGGGATGGCTTACAGAGATATGGCAACATATAACCGTTAACCCGTTAAAACGTGTGCGTCTTTATCATCTTTAAATATCCATAACAAATAATGTTTAACAGCAGGCAAAATAGAGATGGCGTCAGGTGGGGAGAGGTAAAAGGTCAAGGATGTCTTGTATGGTGACCTCTCGGTGAGAGTGCAGACATAAGTCATAACTCGCGCGAGATGTCAGCGCGATATTAAACCTCAACAAGTCTTCGGTCACAAGGAACAAACGCCCGTATTCCAGAAAGGCGTGGATTCTTTATAAAACTTCCCATAATATTGAGTCATGTCATTGTGCTTATGTCTGCAAAAACTTCTTGAGAGTTACAGTGTCATATATGTTACCAGTATCGACATAATGTTTATAAAGAAATCGTTTCTTCGCATATTCAGTATGGGAAGGCGATTTGCTCTTCTGTCGCGTTTCTGACGAGACCATCACTTTGGAACGTTCGAAACTCCAGTATACATTCTAACCAACTCCAGCATACATTCTACACAAAGGCTCATTTCTAAAGAATGTTGACCTTATGAAAGAAATCATATCTCGCAGTTATGCATTCTGATATATTGTCGATCCCGGCACCTCCTCACGTGACATGGCGCCCGACCGGAAGTTAAATCTTAAGTGATTGAGTGTGTGTTAGAGAGTTCTGTGATTGACAGCTAAGTACACGGCGCAAGTTGAGGACTCGGTGGCCGCTATCTTTATATTAGATGGTCTTCAAATCTCAAGTGAGGCGCGAGACCAGCGAGACGAACTCCTCACACATCCTGTGCATTGAAAGGCCAAAGGTCAGCAGGCCTTTCATGATATACAGTTGGGATCGGACAAATGGGGAACTCGGGGACGGGGTCGGATGTGCGGGAGCCAGCACAATTCACGTGGTCGTCGGCATTAGAAACTTCCCACGGGCCGGGCATGCGTTAGTTAGAATCACCTGAATGGCCTGAATGCGCAACTCAAGTTTAGTTGTAGTACACCTCGCTTGCCGTGGAGAGAAGAATGTTTCAGACGATCTGTTACATGTACATGTGTCTCCCCAGAGCTTCTATACTTGACTTTCGGACTTACTAATCGGATTGGATCAACTTGGATGAATTATTTCTCTTTTGAAGAGGATCCCGTATGTCATCGGAACAACGCAGGCGGGTCCATGTACGAATTTGCATTGAAACTTTCAAGGAAACGACTATGCCTGCCGAATATCTTAAAATGTTGCAAACATTTGTTCATTTATGGCGGAACGACGTCTGATTGAGGTGCCCAATAGAAAAGAAGTTACTTAAATATCAGGTGTACGTATCAATGAGCCGGTTGTTTGACATACACACCGAGTAAAAGTAACTCCTACCAGCTCTCTCAGAAACCCAATCAAATGAGACTCGTTTGTCATTCAAGGGAGATAATTTGTCGTCTGCTATTATTCCCGACACGTTCTAATATCTGGGACACAAAACCAGGGCCTGTCTTCATGAAATAGGTCAGTTTGACTCAGTATGATATTTAAATATTTCAATTAGAAATGTCTCTTTGTGGGCATGCGTGATTCACATGCGACTGGGCATATTACACAAGCAGATTACACAACAGGTTTAAGGTGAAAAATGTCTTTAAAAATATGCCAGGTCAGGAAAAGACAGTTCTTGCACAGTTTCAGTCTCGGCAACCTGGTGACTGCAGAATAAACTGACTTTCGCTTCATGTGCCACTTTTAACGGTATTCCAGTGATATCACTGCGTAACGATTACGTGTTGCAAGAAAGGGCAAATGGACCTTTAGTCACGGGTATGAATGTGGGATTTGAACACCGACCAGCGGATCGTGGGAACAAGGGACGCCACTCTACATAGTTCGACCGCCATGGCACCCGTCCGATAACAAACTATATGACAAATATTGCTATCTTGCCTACTCCTGGGTGCCGTTGTACAAAGCAAGCTTAGCGCTAAGATGTTCGTAACTCCTTAACATAGACCTACTGCAGTCGTAACACTATAGGTGTTTTGTACAATGTTAGACTGGATTGCAGGGGATGCTTATCGGGTAGTACAATGACTTACCTGGTTGGCTGTCGACGCTCATGCTGTCAACCACTGGTCAGTCTCGGCCAGGGTTGAGTTTTTACAGACTACACAGACGGACTTTTCTCCGGGATGTTTCTATTTTGTTCTCATAATAGTTAACAGAAACGAACTCACAACATCTATCTAGGAATTCTCGATTTGCCTTATTCAAGTTACACGAGTTTGTGTGAGAAAGCCTGTCCAACAACTGACAGAGGTTAACAAATACATTAAGTCTCTCACACTCGCTTCTAAACCATACTCAAATTCAGACATATTTGTCTCCAACTCGCTTTGCCACGTTCATTAAACAGATGAGCTGAAAACTTTTCCAAAAATCGTATTATGCTCTTTTACCTCGAAATCATGTTTTTCTAAAAGCTCAAATCGAAAATGAATTATTAAAACCTTGCCAAGTATAGAATTCTGGGAACGAAGAATTTCTTTCCTTTCTGTCTTTCTGTTGCATATTTAATGAAAGTGTAAGAAACTAATACTTCCATTCCAGAACCGAAATGTTAGTCCAGGACCTTCAGTGAATCACATCCAACACTCATCCACGGCACGTCACCCCTTGTGCGTTCGACTCAACTTGAACACTATAAGATGTCGAAGTAAAAATCCCGTACATCTGAAACCTTCAGTTATAGCACCTTGTAGGCGATACACCTGGCTGATGACAAACTCGGGGACGTCTGCAAGGTCATCGAACCGGCCACGTGCTGCGCGCGTCACCACACCTGGGGGCTGATCAGCAACCGTGGCGCCTTTGAAGTACCTGTAGGGGGGTGGTCACGCAAGGCAAGTGGAGCGTGCCTCCCTGAGGAGGGATCAGTCGCCTGGCGGGTAGGAGGAACATTTGGGTTTGGTGGGGGGGGGGGAGGTTTAGCAAGTGTAGCGAAGGGGGAGACCTGATCCACACACTCTATCACCGGTGGATACACACACACACACACACACACACATATGTGTGTGTATATGGAGACAGAGAGTGAGAGAGCAGCCCCTGTGGCCCTCTGTCATCTTAGATATGAAGATGATGTATTTGCATATACTCCTAAATAAAGCCACGGCTTATGTCCGGATGCTGGTAGTTTTATTTAGGCGGTTTAATTTTCAAGTTAGAATGTCACATTCTATCGCGTCAACTTGGCATCTCCAACAGAAGTCTGCTCTGACTATATAATCACTCCGAAATGTTTTTTGAAGTTAAATACCGATCCAATTTCAAGAGAAAATATCTCTTCAGGCGACAGCTAGCTGAAAAACACTTAAATATAACGGGTATAAGCCCCGACACTGCTACCTGCTTTCTTTGGAACTCGCAAACACCAAGGAAATATAACCCTTTTCAAAGACAGATATAATCTCTAAATACCAGACGACAATTTTTTTTCTGTTTTGACCAACAAGTCGCAGCACCGAGGGACACCAATTTCGTCGTAAAGAATCTCAGTATTGTGAAAAATGTGCCAAGCTGGTTCTATCGTGGAAACATGCAAGT